TTTTTTTTTTTTTTTTTTTTTTTTTCTGACTTTGGAGTTGACGAGGGTTCTTTTACGGGGAAAACGGCGCTGGGGATCTGTGCAGATGGTGTCAATCAGATCAAAATGTTATTGGCCTTTGCGGAATAACTCTGCAGGCGCTTTCTTTCAATGGAGCCAAGTATTTGGGGTCCGTATGTCCTATCAACCCGAGCTTCCCAATTATCAACAGATGCTAAAATCAAAAGAAAGCGGCATTGAGCTACTGCGAAACCTATAGATGCCCGGACCCTACAGAAACCCACCTTTTCCACAGTCATCAGACTGCTTTCCCCCACTACGTCTGCTTCAGGGCTCATACCCACTGCCCTGACTAATAGTAACTATAACACCCATGGATACCTAGGTAGTCTAGATGAGCGGCATCAAAAAGCTACAGGGAAGAGCCAGTTGCTTCAACCATGCTTTCAGCATGAGATTCTCAGACAGATTTCATATAAGACATAAACGCCAGGAGACCGTAGAGTAGCGGAAAGGCCAATAAAGGCCCACCAAAAGTAACAAAAATAAAAACCTAGAAACAAAGTAGACCCGCACCGCATCCGAACCCGATGCATAAAACCCTCGAACAAAAACAAAACGAACAGAAAAGCAGAGAGCCTCAGCCACGACTCTTCAAAGCCCAAAAGTTGAAGAAAGAAAAGAGACATGACAAAACACAACCCAGCCACTAAGACTGCTCAACCTTAGCCTCCTTAGCCTCCTCCTTATCCACATCCATCGGCGTAGTCCCAGACTCAGGACCAGCCTCAGCACCAGCAGGAGTCTGGTCAGCGGAGCCACCACTACCCGTCTGCACACGGAAGGAGTGAGTAAGAGACTCCTGGGTCGGAGCCGGTGCAAGACGGGGCAGGGCTGCAGCAGCCGGATCTGCAGATTCGGGGGGTCCATCTTGAGCGGGGAGATCATCGTCCGGTCCATCGATGCCGGTGGCATTGGACTTGCGGGAGCGCTTAACTCGTAGCGGACGTTCCTCGGGCTATACAATATAAAAGACAAACCACGTTAGCTTGGATCAGGCAGACAAACGGACCAATCGAGAAAGAAGGGTGTATAGTATAAGTTGGGCAGTAAAGGTCTGGTCTATGTAAGATGGTGAATTGTATAGACACGTACTGTGCGGGGCTGCTCATCGGAGCTACCCTCTGTATCGTCTTCCAGAAGTAAACCAGCTCCACCCTGTGCAGGATTCATCATGGCCGCGGCGCGGGCACGCAGTTCCGGGTTTGCGGCGCCAGTCTTTGCCTCGTCGGCCATGCCGGTGACCTTTGTCAGACGCTCGAGAAGCATGCAGGTTTCCAGACGCATTTTCTGGATGTATTGGGATCCGCGGCGGTTGCGGGTGCGCATTATTTCATTTTCGGCCTCGACTTCTGCAAGGCGCTTCTTCAGCGCTATGCACTTGCGTTTGTAGGCGATCTCCACGCTGGGGGGATTGGCTGGTGGGATGGAGGAGGGTTGGCGGGAGGCTTCCATTTTGGTTGATGAAGAGGGGGAATGTCGGTATCGGCGATTGGAGTTGGACACGGCGGGATTTATTTTTAGGATCCTGTGTCAGAGCTGACTCAAGGCACGATGCGAAGGGGGTGATGTGAAATATAGAGAGGAGAAAGGAGCAAAGGATCGGATGGCAGACAGTAAGATATAATATATCCAGCCTTGATGGATCGTTGACTAGTCCTTGGTGGCAAGGGTGAGTCGATTGACTGGAATGGTGACCCTATTGAGAAGTGCCAAACGTCGTCGGCAACAATGCGATGACCTCTTAACATTATTCTGCCCCGATACCAAAGGCGGTCTACACAACGTTTAAGAAATGTTTATCCATTTAACTCCCGGCTATATACAATCACTCTAGAGAAACAAGAAACCCAAGAACCATGGCTATTTAGTGACCTCCAGTGGTGGGAAGACCAAGGAACACCTTGAAAGAGTCATAGCTGAAGAAAGTTAGCGTCGCTGTACACGCAAATCAGGTCGGAGCAAACACTTACATGAGCCACTGGAAACCGGTCAAAGTGCCCAGCATCACAATACGAACAGGCAAACCATTCCATAGGCCAGAGAAACCAATATTCCCGTAGATCCGGGAGACAGCCGTCATCGCACCTTCGCCGGCTACAAACGGGCGGTTAGCATACATCGAGACTGCAGCCGAAAGAAAGAAAAGGAACTCACCTTTACGATCAGCATTCAATTTGCTGACCATGACATCTGCTGGATGGCTAACAATAGCACAGAAGATTCCAGCAATGTAACCACCCAAGAAGCTAACACCAGTCTGTGTCAATTGGCCATACTCCTCCTTGGGTTTGCCCATAGTCCGGTAGATGATCTTGACCGTCTCCTCGAAGGTGGCAAACTTCGTCATGGTATAAGGGATCTGTCTGGCCCATAGAGGGTACAATCCCTTATACAACCCACCGAAGCCCTCCTTGGCAACGATCTTGCCCCAGCCCTCGCGCATAGTGGAGGCATATGGCGGCAGGGTAGTTTGCATGCGGACCTTGATAGCCTCCATAGGACACAGTGCGATATCAGCAAAGAACTCGGCAGAGGCACTAGCGCCGAGGAATACGAGGGTGCGGTTGGTATCCGGGAACATCTGGTTTCCGTACAAGTTCTTGAAGTACTCGTACAGACCATACTTTCCAGCACCCTGGAAGGAGTATCCCAGGAAGGTGGGGGACCAGCCGAAGAAAACGCCGCGCAGGCCTTCTTTGGAGAAAATTGTTCGCCATGCTTGGATATTGGAGGAGTATATCTTTGGATCAACCTGGCGACGGCATTTCACGAGGTCGAGGGGTGTGACGGCTGTGTGGGTTGGTCCTGTGGAGAATTGGGTGTCAATTGAGTGCGTTAGTTGTTGTATATTGGAGTGCTGTCACCTACCACAAGCTATAGAAATATCGTTAGCGCGTGCCCGAGATGGGGAGCTTTAGACATACCAATGATTCCGCCGACACCGCAACTGAGGAAGTACTTGAGGGAGTTGGGCTCGATCTTCCCAAGGGGAAGCTTGCGTTCTTGTGTAGCCATGGTGTATATGTCTAAATTGTAAATATTTGAGAGAGGAGAGAGTTACAAGGTCAGTAAAATTTGTACTCCGTAAAATATTCCGAGGTACCTTGGAAGAGTTGGAGAACTGTGTCGTCAGTGATCGGCCTGGGCTTATCTCCGCACTTCCCAGACGAACTTTTGGATTGTACTTACTATCTTTGCACACCAGTCTACACCGTTATTGATTTAATTTCTTCGCTAGATATTCTCCTATTCTTGCGCATTAACTGGAATTCAGAGTATCCATGATCCCATATCGATGACGTCAATGACATCCGACCCGGTACTACTACAGTATACAAAAGCCGACTTAGCCGGAGTTCCTGCATAAAGACCGGAGAACCTTGCCGAAATTCAAAGAAGACTACAGGCCCCTCGATCTTCACCTGTATTATCAGAAGGCTCCTCAAAGAAGGAATACAAAGAATTGATGAACAGGTAGTTATCACGGACCTCTTGCCTATTCTTGAGGGCAAGCGAAAGGCTTGCTCCCAAATTGGTGGTGGGCACCCATTCAAGGACCTTGCCCCTTTGACCGACGTTACCCTAGCCAATGCTAAGCCTTATCTCTACCACGGCGCACGAACCAACCAGCTAGAGCCCGCCATTCGGAAGCAGCTGAATGACCAGAAATGCCATCAAACCAGAGCAGCCACCAGTGGCGCCAAATCTTTTTGTTGAAGCAAAAGGATAATGGATCTGTTCCTGTGGCTATGCGACAAGCTTGTTATGATGGTGCTCTGGGAGCTCGAGCTATGCATTCCCTCCAGCAATTTGGGAATGAGAGTGTGAGCAGATATGATGATAAAGCCTATACTATCACGTCTACTTATCGTATTGGAACTCTTGGGATATACGCGACTCACCCTACAAGGCCTAGGGACAAAGACCATCCCACTGATTATGTGATGACACAGGTTGGGCATTCCTCATTAATAGGCGGTCCGGAATCCTATCAACAGGGTCTGATTGCCTATCGAAATAGCAGAGACCTGGCCAAAGAATACAGAGAGGACTTTATCAGGCAAACAAATGAACGATACGCAGCTAGTCAAGATCATGCTGCCGGCAATTTGGTGAATCTGGGGAAATTAGGTAGATGTCAAGGCTCACTATATGGTGATTGAGACAGTTTCATGGTCGCTGATTCGTATGCATATCAGATAGAATAGATATAAGAGACCGGTGCTTTAGTGAATGAATCAGCAGTTTGATGTGCCATGGCATTTCCAGGTATTATACTACGGGGGGTAAGTAGTGTGCTTGGTGTAGCTGTGAGGGAGGGGTGTGCCCTGAGCAATAGACCGCATACCAAATATTCTCAGCCTGAGGCTTTCGGACTATCCCTCTTCAAGCAAGTGGTTCTAAGGCCAGACCTTTTGTGTTGTATCCTCATCACCCTTAATAGACCTCATGATACATCGACGAACCTCATCCACTATACTCTTCTAAAATCTCATCTCTGGTGTATAGCCATGTATACACAACCATAAAGGGACCATCCTTGAGATCACATCAATTGCGCCTGAACGAAGGCGACTAGCTAATTTTCTCCGGGTTTATCTGACGGCTACTGGAGAATCTGAGCATGCTATGGCATTCTCACGCGGTTTGCTGCCTCATATTCGATTCCGGATCTGATTCCCCGCTTCGATATCTAGATAAACCTGCTTTTTGTCCAAACCGCCCGCATTCTAGGGAGATTATGCGGAAGATAGCCTATCACCTACAACCATATCTAGCTCGGGCCACAGTCTAGAGGAGCTCTTCAGGCTATCGGATGCACAGGAGGGAATTTTCATTGCCCGGTAATTCTTGCTAACCACAGTTCTTGGGAGGATATCAACCTTCAGCTATCTGCCCCGCAAGCCAACAGCCTTATTAACCCAGATATGACTTGTCCACATCCTGATCCTCCAGCCATTCTTCACAAGCCGCCTGCACCCCTCCTAGCATTCTGAAGCATCTAACCCCAATGGTGCCCATCAGGACCGCCATGTTGGTGGAATGTTCAAAAGCTCTAAACAGAGACACAAAGATTAGAAAGGGTTCGCAAGCAGCATCAGGTACGCTCTCTGTTGCTACCTGAGGTTGTTGATGGAAAGAGAGGGAATACTAGGAGCAGTATCAAAGAGAGGAGAGCGGTGAGTTTAAAGAAAGAAGAAATTGGAAGCAACCCAGGCAAGAATACCTAACTATATTACATACCGTAAAACGGGAAGTCTACATTAAGGAGTTCCTGGATGCAGACAATAAAGCGAATGAGACGCTGCAAAATAACATCAAGAGTGTCGTCCTTGTCCTCTTCCTTGAGGAGGTCGCCCGTCCAAAGGGGTCCTCACGGGTACCGCCCATTCTTTCGCCAGACGGAGCAGAAAAACCGTGAAAAACGGGATAGTCATAAGCCCTTATGAAGCAAATGAACTCCACTCCGAGATCATGAAGTCCAAGCACGTCATGATGCACGTATATGCGCCGCGTCAGAACCGAATCTTCTCGGCCCTCGACACCCTTGACCTGTACCCTATACCGCGGGCGGGTTCTGTTGGTTTGGACATTCCAACCGCGGTTAGAATACAGCTGAATCTCTTTACAGGTCAGCTCTATATCTCCTCTTTCGTTGAGTACCGTGAGATATGCGACTTTCTTGGGATCGCATACTACGCTGCACCAGAGGGTCTGAACGTTGCCACGGACGGGTTTATAGTGGCACCCGACAAGGCAGACTTCACAAAAAGCCCGCTTAAGTTCTTGAAGGTCCTCATATCCCAAATTCGAAAGGACGGTCAGGAAATTGACAAAAACATATTGGGAACCTGTTGGATGGGAAGTTGTTGACCATGGATGATTTTGAAGTCGGGGTTTATTAGAAGAGGTCTTCAAATGTCTGGATCACACTGTCATGTCTCCACTGCTTATTTTATGATAGCTTTTTGCACTCAGATCCTTTGCCTCATTTCAGCCTTATCTATTCATCGATTTTCTGCAGATTCTTAAGGTCCCACATGAGCGAGCCTTATGTTTCACATGTAATATTTATCGGAACGAATGAACTGCCCAGGTGTCCAGGTGGGCTTAGAGTCTTAAGGTAAGCATGTTCGGTCGCCGATTTACCATCAATCAGCGTATTGTAGTATAATATTTCATATATAAGCTACTATAGCCATTACTTATTGTACGTCTGAGTGTAAGCGCTTGGAACATCACGGTTCAATAGCAGAATGACGAACGACACCGAGGCTACAAGCAGCAAGGGATTTTGCAAAATCATCGAAATAGGAACCTTAGAAGCCAAGCAGAGGGTATATATATACGGAGTAGCGTAGAGACGAAACGACCACATGAATATGCACGTACTACGAACACGTACATCCCGGCCCCTCCTACGTGCAGGTTACCGACCTATCGTCGAGTGATAAGTGCAAGATTAAATGCATACATCCTGCAATATTACCGTCAGAAAATATCTCAAGGCCAATCAGTATTTACTATTTATATTGTACGTATCTGTGTGAAGAGAAACCCCTCTTTAAGGCTTTAAAAAGCAGTCCGGCCCAGCATAAGCACGAACATCCCTCTCTTGAACATCCTCTTTCGAACTCTTATCTTTAACATCAATTACCATAATGTCGTCAACGCTTTGGTTGGGTCTTTTCATTGTCTTCGGATCTTGGATTATTACTACCCTCCGCGGCCGCAAGAGATACCCGCTGCCTCTTCCTCCTGGTCCTAAACAGAAACCCATAATCGGAAATCTGAAAGACCTTCCAACTCCTGATCAACAAGATTGGATACACTGGTTGAAACATAAAGAGCTATATGGTAAGAATAGGTTCCTATGAAACATACCAACTTGGAATGATGTTGACTATTCCCAAATTAGGACCCATTAGCTCGCTCACTGTGCTGGGGAGACATGTCATCGTCCTCAACGATGCTAAGTTGGCGGTGCAGCTACTAGAAAAGCGGTCGGCTATACACTCAGGGCGTCCAGAGAATATGTTTGTTGACATGTAAGTGAAGACATAATTTAGATGACACTGGTGTGTGAGACTGATATCGCCAGGTCGGGTTGGCAATATGTTCTTGGAGCGCTCAGGAACCCAGACCACGTAAGGAAAACACGGAAACACTTGTATCAAGAGATCGGTTCAAAGAATTCCGTCTCCCGCTTCAACGATGTTCAGACAACGGAGGTCGGTCGTTTCCTGTTGAGGGTGTTCAATGAGCCAGACAAGCTCCTTCAGCACATACGGAAGTGAGTCGATGCCTCTATTCAGAACCATAGTATTCTCTTGTTCAAAACTAATTGGGGGCAGAGATGCTGGAGCTATCGTCTTGAAAATTGGTTACGGTTATACCATTGAGCCACATGCTCAGGACCCTCTTGTGGACCTTGCCGACAAGGCGATGGAGGACTTTTCATATGCGTTGCTTCCAGCGACATGGGCGGTGGAGTTTATCCCAATACGTAAGTAACGATCGAGTGAACTGTTTGGACACGTTGGATGGATATTATCTGACGCTCTGGCTAGTGAAATATCTCCCGGCTTGGTTCCCTGGCGCACGATTCGTGAAGATCTCGCAAACCTACAAGTCGAGAGCTCAGGCGTTCAGCGACGTTCCGTACGCGTTTACCAAGCAGCGAATAAGCAATGGCCACTTTGCGCCATCCTTCTTGTCCAACCTTCTTCGAGACAATCCTGTAGACCCTGGGACCGAAGAAGAAGGCATCATCAAATGGTCAGCCGGGTCTTTATACGCTGGAGGCGCAGATACAGTGAGATAAAATCCGATCTGTGCGCATTATATTAGGCTAACAAAAAGCAGACTGTCTCCTCGATTGCGAGTTTCTTCCTCGCCATGGCCCTTTTTCCGGAGGCGCAACACAAGGCTCAGCAGGAACTCAACACAGTGCTTGGGAGTAATCGACTACCCCAATTCAAAGATCGAGAAAACCTTCCATATATGGAGGCACTCGTCAAGGAAGTTCTCCGGTGGCACCCAGTTGTGCCAATGAGTGTAGCGCACACGTCAACCCAGGATGATACATGCGAGGGGTACTTCATCCCCAAGGGATCATCTGTTCTTGCAAACATCTGGTGAGTTGCTCTTGTCCATTCCAGGAGACAGCAGTTCCTGATACAGCTTTCAACGTCCTAGGGCATTTACGCACGACCCAACCGTCTATCGTGACCCAATGACCTTCAATCCGGAGCGCTTTTTGACCTCCCCCGACGGCAAACTCCCAGAGCGAGATCCTCACATGCTTGTGTTCGGATTTGGTCGTCGAGCCTGTCCTGGGCGTACGCTAGCAGATGCGAACGTCTTTCTCACTGTTGCACAGGCTCTGGCTGTGTTCAGTATCTCGAAACCGATACAAAACGGAGTTACCCAGGATATCCCACTAAAATTTCTCCCCGGGGTCATTAGCCATCCGGCTCCGTTCAAGGTGTCGGTTCGGCCACGAAGCGCGGCGCATGAACAGCTCATCCGAGAACTCGAACAGCATTATCCTTGGGAGAAGAGCGATGCTGAATCTCTCCCGAGTGTGTAGATGATGATGCGTACATTTCGAACGACTGCTGATTGCCCCATTGGGTATGTGGGTGCAGGAAACTCTCAATGACAATCGCCTGAATCCAGAGAATATATATAACAGCGGCCAATGTTCCCGGACGCACCAAGATGCTTTCTACTCCTGTTGCCCTAGCGCATTTTCTGGAGAGGGAGGGGAGGAGAGGAGACGGAGGGGAGAATTGTCTTCAGAATTAAACGAGCTCTCAAGAACTAGCTATCTATACTATAGTCTCGAGGTCTAGCCACTCCTGGCCCTCTAAGGCATATCTTTCTTTGCTGATATCAAATGTAAACAATGCATTCTCGGAGGTCGACTATCGAAGCTATGTTCCGAATCGACTCTACCTCTGTCAGTTCACAAAGCTATGCTCTATTTTATCACTAGCTCGGTCACAAAGAGAGTCTCAATTACTTAACAGTCGATGAATTCCATTTCGACTCTCAGTCCATATTCACGGCCATGATTCAATCCAACAACAAACACAGTTCAACAACTCTAACACATCACTTTCTGCTATTATCTCCCAAAATGGGCTCGTTCAAATGTGGTGTAGGTTCAAGACCCGGAAAAGGTTTGTGGGATCGACTTGGTCTCTATTCGAACCGCCCAGCCCGAACTACTGTCATGAACGTTATTCGACGAGTTCACGACATTGAGAATAATGGATACCGCCTTGTGGGTGGAAATCCTGTACACCTTTTTCACTCGAGCTACCGTAGAGCAAACATCAAAAATGGTCTCATCGCTGAAATACCCAATCTATCAGCATCGATTCAAGGAATTCCTCAAGCTCAGCTTGTGGAGTGTATGATAGGCCTTTGCCGTTTCTCCTGAGCCCATCATCCCCTTAATTGGGGACTCCCTCCTCCGACTAAGCCCGGATGGCGATCACCGGTACCTCCAAAGGAACCAGCACCGGCACCTGCGATTGCCCTAGCATCAGGAAAGCTGCGCGCTAGCATTAGCGCCTGCACCTACACCTACACCTGCGCCTGCGCCTACACCCGTGTCAGCACCTGTGCCAGCTCCCGTACCAGCACTCAAGCGAGCGCTCGGCGGCACAGACGACGATGGTTCTAATCTCCCAGCTTAAAAGAGCCTGTCATTGGGGCAAATTCCAGAGTATCCAGACGTGCTAGATCCGGCGAGCTTGCACGTCGAGGGGCAAGAGGATATCCTAGGAAAGACAGCGCCACAGGAGGAGGATGAAGAAATGAGAGATTTGTCCATTGAGGAAGCAACCCTTTTTAAGCAGCTCACCGAATTTTTACGGAGAAGAAGACGCATGAGCAGGGGAGATATAAAGGTAGGGAAGACTAAGCTTTGTCCTGAAGGTCTACGGTTTGATTAGTATTTTGTTTCTTTCTTTTTTATCTAGCGAACTGTTGGGTTGTTGTATATTGATAGGCCTTTTAGAACTACATGTGGTAGATCTTTTTACTTTTTATACAGTCATGAGCAGCTCGGATGTACGTAGTCGATGATCCTCCGGTCGATGTTCGGGAGTCGGGAGTCCTCCGATTCGACTCTAGGCCATCAAGATACCGACAACCAGGTTGTGGATTCCCTCAGGCCGGACTTTGGCCTATGCGATCTTTCTTCGTGCTCACATGGTAAAGGAATATACACCGTGTAGATTTACAGAAACCAAGCATTGTTTTCTTTTTTGTGACTTGCTTCATCTTTCCAAGGTTGTGTTCATACTTCTCTTGCGCTGTGATTGGTCCGAATGCATTCCTTGGCCTGATATTTTAGGCTCCAATCCAACGCGGTAGAGTTGGGCAGAATCTCCGCTTGGGCAATTTCATCCCTCTTGAGATCAATTATCGATTCACTCTGCGGTTTTGTCTGGACTGGGTCGAGTTGAGCAAGATAATTTTGTCAGTAAAGACTGTCTCATCGACTACATGTCCTTGGCTCATTGACCCATAGGCTCCCGCAGCCGGTCACCGAAGTGCAACGCCTATTAATTCCTGCCCCCCACGTTTGGGCTCGATTAGGCAAGACGTACACATATTCCAAGGTCGCTCCTTCCACGTTGGCGATTCGTACACTCAAGTCGACCAAATTGGAAAACACGTCAATTTCTCTTTTGTCTATCATGGCTTCACCCACAGTCGTTGACAAGTTATTTGTCTGTCCTGGATGTCAGAGAGGTGGCTTCAAAAGCATCGGTGCCGTCAAGGCTCATTTTGAGTCCAAAGGCCACGAACTTGCTTGCAGTCCATGCAACAGATCTTTTGGGAATGTAACGGCGTTGCTCAAGCACTCCCAGAAGCATGAAAAGCCCCTAGATGGTTCCGATCTCAAGTCTCTCAAGTCGGCAAAGCCAGCGCCAAAGACCACGAAGCAACAGATGTTCGAGGGCCTTTCCGAGTCTTTTGTCAAGCCTGCGAAATCAGCCCCAAGGCCTATGAAATCTGAGAAGCTCCCGGATCTGTCTGAGTCCTTTGTCAAGCCTGCAAAGCTATCACCAAAGACCACAAAGCATGAAAAGTCACAGGATCGTTCCGAGCCCTTGTCTGTCAACCCTGCGAAATCCATCACGAAGAAAACAAAGCTTGAGAAGTCCCAGGAATTGTTTGAGTCTTTGTCTGCCAAGCCTGCGAAACCCACTTCAAAGAAAACAAAGCTTGAGAAGTCCCTAGATCGCTCCGATATTTTGCCCGCCAAGCCTGCGAAACCAACTCAAAAGCGCACATCAAACCAGGCACCAGTACGTGCTCCATTGAGGGCAGAGGCTTTTGAGGACCTACGGAACAACACTGAACTTGAACCCCCGGGCCTCTCATCACCTGCCATCCAAAATGCCAATTACCGTGCTGTGCTCGAGCCGCTCGAACAAAACTTGATCTTTCGCTACTTGTTGGCACGGTGTCACTCGGACACCCGTCTGGTCTCACGAGGCTTCACCTTCCGGGCCGGCTTGGCAGATGTCAGCAAACGCCCGTCAAAGAAACCCCCTCCGAAGACAGGACATTTCCGCCAAGTTCCTCGATCCTCAGACGGTTTGCCAAAAAGGAGAGCAATCGTTCTTGACTGTGAGATGGTGCAAGTCGAAGGAGGGCGTCGGGAGCTTGCTTTCTTGAGCGCGATCGACTTTCTGACTGGCGAGATTCTCATCGACAATTATGTGCAACCGAATTCGAAGGTCGTGAATTGGGATTCTCGATACAGTGGGGTGACTCCTGCCGCCATGAACAAAGCTGTCAAGAAAGGGACAGCGTTGTTTGGCTGGGAAGGAGCGCGCTCGAAATTATGGGAGTTCATGGATAGCGAGACTGTTCTCGTTGGTCATTCTCTCAACAACGATCTTGACGTCTTGGGTATCATCCACTGGAACATTCTCGACTCCTCCATCATTACCAGCGAAGCGGTGTTTTACACTGTTCACGCCCGTGAAGCACTCAATCGCACATGGAGTCTGAAGACTCTCACCAATGAATTGGTCAATTATGATATCCAAGTGGGGAAACAGGGCCACAGTGCGCTGGAAGATGCACATGCAACACGGGATATTGTGATCTGGTGTCTGAGATACCCCGAACACCTGAAGGTATGGGCGGACAATGCCCGGGACCAAGAGGAGCAGCGTGCGTACGAGAGGGAGTTGAGGAGGACGACAGAAGAGCAGGTGAAGGAGCAAAAAAGAAAACATGATATGGAGATAAAGATCCAGATGCTATCTCGTGGCGTCGCTGGTTTGGATATTCATGACATTGGCCTGTCTGATGATGATGCTAATGGCCCTGATGATTCTTTTGTAAACCATGATGGTGATGTTGAATACGAACCGGTAACTATTGAAGCGGCCGCAGCTTCATTCTTTTGATACTCCCATGTCTAAAATCACCTGTTAATTATGATATTATATGACAATGCAATTATGAGTGTTCAGCCGTGCAATCATTGAGCTATTTGCTGTTGCTCTCCTTGTCTTGCGTATTCGACAAGGGATATGCCCACGCAATGCAATACTGTCCACAAAATCGATTCCATTCAAAATGCTCACGGCCTAAACAAAGCCCAGCCTCACAATCCGGAAGCACTGTTATGAGCAGTGATCACTGTCGTCGACACAGCTCGTGTCTCCCCGGCAATACTAAGAGAGGTCCGCCATATCGTCGAATGACTCGACCTTGCATTGAATGAGATGTGCTCTGCCATCTTTGGGAGCTAAGGGAGCTAATAAACATAGACGAAATCTTCGTTCTTCAGGTCGGTCATGTCCTGCAACCCGTTGTCTTGTTCCACCGAGACCTTTTGATCCCGAATATCCTCCAGCTCCACTGCCTTGGTCTCTTTCCGCTGGTCCTTGTCCAGCATAGACATATCAGCGACGGGGCCCACTTTCCCGAGTTGCACGCGTCGCTTCTCGTGCTTCTTGTTCAGGTACATGAGATAGAAAGGAGTGAGGCTAGACAAAATTAGTCAAAGAATAAACCACAGTTAAGTTAGAGCATACGCAGCAATGATCCCAACCGTGACAAACATAGCAAGGTTGGCTATAAGACCCGTTCGGTATAATGGTGCCTCCTCAGTAGAGTAAAGAAGTGGTCCAATAACATTGCCAGCACACATTCCGATGAATACTATACCAGAGGTGCACTTCCTTTTGGTGTCACCTCCGGTGTTCTGTGCTTGCCAGGCATATATCAGTGGGGTGATGGACGCCATTGTAGAGACCTGGAGCCAGTGCATTAGTTGCAGATCTTACAAATCACCCTGTTATTGGAAGCATACCAAGTAGTAGCCAAAGAGTAGGACTCCCTTGTTGTGTCGCGGGACAGTAAGCATCATGATGGCTCCGGCACTTGGCAGTACACTGGCTCCGGCTATAACGAGACCCTTACGTTGGATCCTTGTTGCTAGCCATCCCGTGATTAAGATGGCCAGAATCTGTATGATTCCGAAGGGGATATTAAATAAGATTGTTTGGAAGCTGTCAAATCCGAATGACTTGACAATCAGGGAACCGAAGCTCGAGATGCCTCCGCTTGCAATACTATTACAAATCGCTCGTTAGTTCAATTCTTTCTTTTTCTTCTTGTGCAAATATGGCAAAAGTTGATACTTACGAGATAGTTATAATCGAGAAGAACCAGCACCAAGTCTTGAGGTCTAAGATGACCTCTCGAGCATGATCCCATCGCCATTCCTGGTTGGAAATACCCATCTGGTTGGCACGCAGTCTCTCTGTGGCGATGAGTCTCTCCCGCTCACTCAAACACTTGGCTTCCATAGGAGAATCAGGCATTAACCAGAAAACGAGAAAAGAGTAAACCACCGTCAAAATACCACAGAACATGAAGATTGTCTGGTACCGATATAAAGTATCGCTGTGGATATGTCCAAGGCCGTATGTGAGAAGACTACCAATAATGGAGGTCAGGCCATTCATTGCATTCCAGTAGCTAACACGCAAAGTCTGTTCACTTCGGCGCCACCACATCTGTGTGATTGCGACACAACATGGTGCAATGCAGGATTCGAATGAGCCAAGAACGAAGCGCAATCCGAGAAGGGAGGAGAAATTAGTGCAAGCGGCCATAATGGCAAGTGCTGATCCCCAGAAGAAAATGGCACTGGCGAGGACTTTTCCGGTGGGGAGTTTCACCAAAATTAGCGCCACGAGAGGTTGCATTACCAATTGTGCAAGGTAGAGAATAGATCCAAGCCAGGAATACTGTAGGCCGACTAGATGAGCATCTTCTTGTAGACCGAAAATGGAGACATAGCTAATGGCCGATTAGTATCATGTGCATTAGGATAACAGCAAGTTATCTGGAAACAATGTATCATTAAAAAGTATCATTACCTCAACGAACTTTTATCAAGCTGTTGGAAGAAATACGCCCATAGAACAAGGACGAGGATTCGCTTGTCGATACGACGGAGAACGGCTTTCTCCTCTTCGTATGTGAACGCAGTCTCCTCAGTCGCATGGCTAGTCAAAAACTCAACTGCCTTTGAACGTGTAGCTCGTTCATGGCCCTGCTTCTGCTCGTGCTCCTGAACTGTTGAGATTTCATCGTTCGCTTGGGCCATGGCGGGCAATATAACAAGAGGTTGAAGAAGGGTAGTCCAGGTCCAACTTGCTTAAGTCTTCAATCCTTAAATGGATTCAAAGCCTCTTAACTTTCAACTTTCTTTTCTCTTCCAGTCCAATAATTCATCGCTCTGACCCTAGGGTAGAGACCAAATTCCGGAAAAGGCATAATGAGTGGTAATATCGGTCTGTATTCCGTCCTGATTGAACTGCGGTATCAGCGTCGAATCAGTTTTTGCACCTATCAAGGGCAGCTAAACATAGACTAGAACAAATACGAACAAGTACAATGGCCAAGCACTGCTCATTTGGAAGCTTTTTGGTGATATTGCGGGGAAGCATTGCGCTAGACAAGCCCCCGTCGCTGTTTACTTACCCGAAAACATGCGGTAGTTCCCCGCATCCTCGTCTGTGGCTATATCAAATTAGTAGATCGGTGAATCGTGGCCGATCCTTGGGGCAAAGCTTCCCTTTAACCCGGTTTAGCTGTCTGTAGTTTGCTTGTCACATGTTGACTAAAGAGTCAATGGACTAACTAATCTGGATGAGAACAAAGTCTTTCGAGGAGCAGGGCTCAGCCTAAGGGCCAGAATAATAAGTGAGTCAGCAAGAATCAGCCAAAATTGTCTACAAGGTTGGTTATCTGCCAATTACGTATATTGCGAAAATGGATGTTTCTATGAAGACGAAGTACAATAAACCCAAGCGATCTATAAAACCGACATTGTTCAAGGGAGGTCGAGAATGTCTTTAACGTTTACCACCTGTCCAGTACGAATCGAGCGATTGGCAGCGACACCGGTCAGAATAGAAGCCGCACCATCAATGTGACTAGCAGCTCTCATGTACTCATCGGGCTCAGCTTCTCCGAAAAGATCACGAAGCAGCACATTATCACCTCCCCCATGTCCACCTGCGGCTTGCTCAATCTCAACCTTGCGCGGCTCTTGGAACAGAGGTCGCAAAAGGAGAGTTATACTCTCGGCGGCGCCTTCCAAGGATTGCTCTCCGCCAGAGTTGACATAGCTGCTCTCGACAATCTCCGCCTCGAGTCTACCGCCTGTTCCGTTGAAGCTGACACGGAAGCCCTCCCAGGGCGCATACGCAGTGAGAGAGTAGGTCAAGACCGCGCTATTCTCGTATCGAACAAGCACGTTCATCGTGTCTTCAATGCTGATTCCATCACCAAAGACACTTTGATCACGGAAGTAGCCATCTTCATGCTCGGCATCCAGGTAGAGAGACTTTAACTGAGGGTTCTCGTCCAGATGCAGGGCGAATGGATCATTCTTAGCAGTCTCGCTACCATGAGTCCTCGAGTAGAACTGGGTCACACCCCGCTCCTCGGCGTTCTTCTTCCCGTAGAACTTGAGATCTCCCTGTGCGTATACTGTCTTTGGTCGAGACTGCAGCCAGAAGTTGATCAAATCAAAATGGTGGGTGGATTTATGAACCAGAAGGCCGCCGCTGTTGCGAGCATCACGATGCCAACGTCGGAAGTAGTCAGCACCGTGGGACGTGTTGAGCATCCACTCGAAGTGAATGCTTGTAACGGTACCGATCGCGCCGGATCGAATGACTTCAAAGATTTTCGTATTATGCGGCGCGTAACGGTAGTTGAACGTGACCCTAACCCTCTTGTTGGTACGATCGACAGCCGAAAGGATCTCGTTGCATTGCGGTACATCGATGGTCATTGGCTTTTCGGTGATGACATTGCAGCCAAGCTCTAAGGCACGGACAATATAGGTATGGTGGGTACGGTCAATGGTGGTGACAATAACCTCATCCGGTTTGGTTTCCTTGATCATGAGATCAAAATCGGCAGCGAGATAGGTTGGGACCGGTTCATGGCCCAAGGCTTCGATCTTGGCTTTCGCATAGTTGAGTCGAGTCTGGTTGGTATCGCAAATTGCGACGAGAGTGCTGGTCTTATTGTAATCCCTCGCAATGCTCGTGTAGAACAAAGCCGATCTTCCACCAGTGCCGATCAGCGCATAGCGCTTTTTCGGCAAGAGGATAATATCACCCATGATGTTCGACTATCCTGGATACTGGCAAGGATCGAAGTGAGGGTATTTCGAGCACCACAGCAGTGAATGCAGCCGATGAGTTAGAAAAAATAATGTCTACACGTTACAGTCGCTTCTTGATGTTGACATATATACTTGGCAAGTCTCCACTGGGGACAAATGCGGGGAAGCACTAACAGATACAAGACACCAACCCATTCTCATATCTTTCCGATTCGGGAAAGTGCACAATTGGTGCAAAAATATTTCCAAACCGCTAGTCAGATGACTTCAGATCTGCAGCCTCGGTAATGGTTGCACCGAAAGGTGGGAGATCACGGGTGGGAAAGATGATCCTTGGGCCTGCATGGCTGTGTGGCTAACTTCCACAAGTGGCTCTACCATCCTAGCTAGTTGGTGACAATAATAGACGCATTGACACAACATCGGCCTAAAGCCTAGGAAATTGCGAGATGCTAGGCGAAGATTTGCGGGCACCAGGTCACATCCTGCATAAGAACATGGGAAGGGCTTGCGCCTTGTGGGAAGAGGCCTTCGACATTATTTGCATGATATACATGGAATAAACGCAGTTCGATGGCAAAGTCCAAAGCTGAGAAAAAGACAACGGTCCGTAAGGAAGCGGAAATTCACGTCAGAGATACAGAGTAGGCGAAACCTGGCGAGTATCACTGCTGTACCAGGTGCCTCTAATCACCTGGGCAGTCTCTGAGTAACAGTGAGCGATTAGTTAGCCAATCAGAGTCTCCT